TATATACTGGTACCTCCGATCCTCTACATGGCTCCTCAACTCTTAAAACGAAAGATAGATGGTACATAATATAACTTCTTTATATATCTTACCTCTCTTAGACTTTGAAATGATCAGCTGATCTTCAACCTTTCACAACTGTGTAAACCGAGATTTCACTAAAAATACGATACATTCAAAAGTTCAAGTTTTTCTGTTAAATACTTTATAGAAAATTCCAAAGTTCAAAATTCAAATTATACACAAAATTACTAAATTATAAAAATCTTATTCTTATTTACCCCTCCAATGTGGACGTTGACAAAAATCTAATAGGCTCACTAGGAATCAAAGAAAAAAACCTTTTAATAAAACAAGCCCATTTAAGCTGTATAATAGTCAAAAGTCCCGCATCGCTTAGTTAAAGATAAGGAATTGTGTTTATATATCGATAGAGTTAGCTACATGATTGTCACTTGCGTTAAAATTGGAGCGATACAGAGAAGATTAGCATGGCTCCTGTGCAAGGTCGATACGCTTAATTCGAGAAATGGTCTAAATTTTTTTTCTTGCAAATTTTTCTCATTGTTCTTGGTTTTTGTCGGTTTTAAAAGTTTTAGTATTTTGAAGAGCAAGGTATTATTAACAGATCTATCTGTCAAAAGAAATCTACTTCTTATAATCATCTCCTGCTTCCTTCAAATATTGAAGACTAAAAACTTCAAAATACAATGTGGATTGCAAGATTTTCATGTAGAGTCATATCTTGCTTTCGAGTTCTCTCATGACCTTGCAAAGTTGGTCTTGATTCAGGGGTTTCTCCAAGAAGGCGTCCATTCCAGCTTCTATTGTTTCTCTTGCTTCTTTTGAACATGGATCATGACCAGATACAGCTATAATCGGTATATGCACTCCATATTTTCTCTCCACTTTCCTAATCTCTCTAGTTGCTTCATATCCATCCATTTCTGGCATCTGCGCAAAAGAAAAATATATATTTTGAATTAGAAGTAAACTATTTGCGATTGCGTTATATGGAAGAAAGCCTTATCAATAAATATATACCTGACAATCCATGAATATGTAGTCAAACGGAAGCATATCTATTGAACCTTGTTGCTCTCTTTGTGTAAGCCATTCACTGACTAATCTCACTGCTTCTTTTCCACTGTTGCATTGCTTTACCTCAGACACTCCTATCTTCTTCAGATTTCTTGTTGCAACCAAAGATGGTATATGATCATCATCAACCACCAAAACTCTCTTTCCATTTAAGATATTTTCATCGTCACTCGGTTTAGAAGTTCCTTGCTCGTCCTCTGGGTTTCCAATAGGCTTTTGACCAGTACGAGCTGAGTTGATAAAACTCTCCCTCTCTGAAGGTGTTTCTATTGGCTCATTTCCACCAAATTCTGGCAACATCTTTAGCACTCGGTTAAGACGCGGTCCGTGCAAAGGTTTCGAACAATTAATGTCCCCTCTCTCATTTTCACAAGCGTTCGGTGGTGCGTTAATCCAAACAACTCTACATGATATGCCATGGTGCAAGCCTCTGCGAAACTGTTCGACAATGTCGTTCAGCTCAGAAAATGGTCCTGTTTTTGCATCAATCATCAAGAGGACAACTGTAGAGAAACTCTTGCTTCTCATTCTAGGAATTTGGCTTTTACCATCCATGCCAATCAGAGGTAACTCCCTTGATCTCAAACTACACTCTGCTCTTCCCATAGAACTCTGCGGTGAAAACCGGAAAAGTCTCTCCAAAGCATGATTCAAATGCTCCCATTTCTCCACCACTGTTACTTTGATTTCTAGACTCTTTATGTATTTCTCTGTAACTCTTCTTCGTTCTTCATCTTTCAGTAGGAGAACCACTCGAGAACCGTCGTGCTTTGGACTCGAGCCGAGAAAGTTGTTTAATCTAGGGCTCAGGTTCCTTATGTTTATGCCACCTCCCAACAAAGTGGTTATTCTCAACCCGAGGTTCGGGGTAGATATGCAATCTCCTCCTGCTTCGATGTCGTATCTCACTTTCATGTCACTCACTGAACACTCTAAGGTTGTCAATAAAACATTGAAATGGAAACATGTCCCCTTCTCTCCCATTGCCTTGTCAATGATTCTTATCTCCCCTCCCATTAATCTTACCTACAAAACAGAAATGAAAAACAGTAAATTAGATGCATTCCCTTGAGAACTGAAAATTGAAGGCTTGTAGTTGCTTACCAGAGATTGCACAATCCCAAGCCCTAATCCAGTTCCTTGTTGTCCTTGAGCTGTTTCTCTTACCTGAACATAGTTTTCAAACACCGATTTACGCATCTCCATAGGTATCCCTTTACCTGTATCCTCCACTTCAAACACAAACTCCATTTTGTTAACATTGTTACTTATGGAGTTTGAAGTTTCTATCTCATAGCTTGATGATTGGTCTTTATTCTTGCAGAACATACACTTTGAAAACATCGATGCATTTCTTTTAGGGTCTGATACCAAGAATACAGTGCTATTGGAACTTGGCTTCTGAGCCAAAGCTCGGATCGATATATGCCCATTGACTGTGAACTTAACCGCATTGCTAACAAGATTGTTAAGAATTTGCTTCATTTTTCCTCTATCTCCTCTCACATTTGAGAATTTGAAAACCGAGCCATCGTGCAGATCCAGAACCACATCAACTCCTTTCTTCATCGCCATGGGGTGAAAAAAATCAATGACATCTTCAAGAAGCTTTGCCAGGTTGAACTCTTCTTCCTCTAACTGCATCTTCCCGCTTTCGACTTTGCTCATGTCCAAAACAGAGTTAAGTAGAGCTGTTTAAACAACATGACAAGACTTTTTGTTAGTGACAAACGCATAAGAGAAAGCTTGAGAATCGGAGTGTGAAGACATAATCTTACCAACCAAATCCTTGGTGCATGCATTCACTTGATCAAGACTAGTTTCTAGCTCACAGCCAGGTCTAACTTCTTCACGACATAAATCAATCAGACCAGTGATTCCCGCAAGGGAACCTCTAATATCGTGGCTAGCGCTTGCAAACGCTTGACTCTTGTTCATACTCTTCCTCTCAGCTTGTTGTGTTGCTTCCATTTGGTTTATCAGTGTTACACGCATATGCATATCTCTTCTTGCTGCTTGCAACATAAACACCACAAACCCTAGAGGCCAACACAAGCCCAAAAACATCGTCACAATAAGCAGATACATCGATGCGTTCTCGATGCTTAGTCCTCTGTCTTTGTTGGGAAACACAAGTGTGTAGCTCTGGTAAAAGAAAAACCATTGGAAGAAGCTAAGAAAAAAAGTGATGAATCTAATCCATAAAGTGAAAAAACATATGTTTTAGAAGATGATATAGCATTTACCAGAGGCACACCGGAAACTTCAAGAACAGAGCAAAACGCTTGAAATTTCGATTCTTTACCGAAGCAAGTCGAGCCATTGGAGAAGAAGAAAGAAGCATTCAGTGAATAACCTTGACGAACAAGCAACGTACCGTCTTTATTCCACATGTAAAGCTCTCCGCCGTGTAGATTCAATCGGTTCAAAACACCGGTGAATGTTTTAACCGGAAACCCTAACGAAACAGCTCCTTTCTTGCTGTTCAAGCTAACTACTCTGTGAAACAGATTCTCATTATCTTCTCCTCCTAAACTTGTTCCGACAAAGGCCGTCGTGCAATTTCCCTGTACGTCTTGGAACCAGTCTGTATAGCGCTGAGATTTCTTTGCATTCCCGTTGAGACGACCGGTTAACTGATCAACGGTTTGAGTGTACCAAGTGTAGTCTTCTCCACTACTTGAATTGGCAAAAACAGAGAAACTTGTGTTTAACTTGGTAATGTAAGAAAACAAGAGACCGTTCCTACTAATGTAGGAAACTTGTGAGACTTGAGGGATCGTTGTATAAGCTTGAAACAACATTGGTGCGATCTGAAGAACAATAACAACACAAAATTATATCTAGTTTTGTAATAAAGTTTCAAATTAATCACAAGATCATGAATTTTAACGACCTGGGTTTGAATCTCTGTGAACTGAGTAACGTCATTGTTGGTGAGATAAGAATCTATAACTCTGGCTAAACCGATTGTAGATAAATTTGTCTTCGGATAGATGATTTTTCCGATGTTTTCGATCTCTGAAACAAGACTTGACAGGAGATCTTCAGTGGATAAAGTGACGTTGTTTGTTATGTTCTTCGTTGTTCTACGCCAAATCTTGATCGGTATGGTCCCAAAAACAATCACCAGAAACACCTAAATTTATTCACCAGATATACATTAATATTCAGAGAGTTCGAATCGATGTAAGTTTAACAGTTTTCATATTCTTTCGTGTGAGCATCTGATTTTGAGTTTTGTTACTTCATTATTTGTATAGAACGAACAACTTTCAATATAAAACAAAGAATAACAAACTAGACCTTAAAACACTAAAGCCCCAACTATTGCGTGCCTAGTT